CCTCTCGGAGACCTGCCTCAAGACAGCCAGAGAGCATGAATCCCCCCACCCTTACCCCCTGCCCACCGTTCTCAGGCCTGGTCCTAAAGCCCAAGAGACTTCTAATCTGAATCTGCCCCCTCCCCACCTCCTGCCTGCTTACCAGGGGATCAGATGGAAGTTGGCCAGAGTTAGCTCAGGCTTGGGGAAGTTGTACTCTTCCAGAGTTGCCTGGTGTTTTTGGTGTGACCTCATTCAAAATTTCCTTCCCCGTCACACTGGTTCCCACTCAGAGAAATCTTTGAAGCAGAGATGACCTTATTATGTGGTTACTGGCCCGGTTAATTCATATGTGCACTTGATCATTGCTGCTTCTCTCTGGGATGGGGCCCTCGGTTCTGGGGGAGTCTAACCAAGGGTCTCATGGAAGCCAGGGGTAATAAACCCAAGACGCTCATGGTTAAGAACTTGACTCTGTCACTGAGTGACCTTGGGAACCTCATTTGACCTCTCTGAGCCTTGACGTATTCGTAAAAGGGGGCCATGCATGGGGAGTATCTGTCTTGAATGCTGGCTGCAGGTGGGAAGAAAGAGATCAAGTTTTCTTTTTAAAAAAAATCACACTTTCCACAAATAATAGACAATTTTTATCCCTGTACTTTAAGAAATGTTAATTTAAAAAAAAATCTGAACACCAGACAGTACCTGGGCACCTGCCATGTGCCCAGCCTTGCATCGGAGTTGGGGCTGGATAGAGGTACCCCACTCGTGGGTGTGGCCTGTGATGTGTGTGTTCACCTGCTCAGGCCGTCCTCACAGCAACCCCACAAGGTTCGAGGGACCGGGATCGCCATTTCCCAGGGGAGGAAACAGGCACAGAGAGGAGACGTGACTGGCTTTACGTTCCACGCTGAGAAGCGGATGAGTCTGGCATTGGACCTGGACGCCCTGTTCTACCGATGAACAGGCCTGTGAGCCCTGACTGCAGGGCCCTAAGTGAGCTTTCAGGGCACAAAGACGAGCCAGGGGCGCCCGTGCCCTGGGGGAGCTACCTCTCCTAGGAGCGGGGGACACATTGAGAAACCAGTGAAACGTGGTGTACCGGGGGGCACCTGAGGCTGGTTGGTGCATTGACATCAGAGTTCTAGGCCCTTCGCTGTACAGATGGATGGTACATTTTTTTTTTTTTATACCTCAAAATGGGCTCCGCTCGAGCTGTATTTGAAAGCCAGCTGGCTTACCCTTCACTGTGCTGTTCTAGTCCACGGCCGCGGGGCCTCTGGACTGGGGTCTCCGGCTCCTGCCACTCAGACACAAGGGATCCTTTTTTAAGAAGTGGCTGTGCCCCTCCCCCCGAATCCCGAGTCCAAAGGTGACTTCAAGCCCCTCGTGGAAGGACACCTTCCAGTGGTCAAGAACCTGGGGTCCCCACGCTGACAAGGTGTCTCCAGACGGAGGAAGCGCGTGGCAGGGGCGTGAGCTGAAGTTGTCCGTTGATCGCAAGCCCCCTGTATCCACTGGACCTCAGAGCCCCGGCGGTTAACCTCTGAATGTTCCCGACCAGAACCTCCAAAGCCTAACACCTCCTGTGGGTGTGGGGTGGAGGTGGGAGGGATGGAGGGGAAGGGTCTGCCTCGAAGGAGCGAGGGAAACACCATCCCAGCCCCAGACGTGCACTCGGACAAGCCGAGATGGGAAGAAAGGTGCAGAGCGGAGTGGAAGCCGCACGCGAGGCCCACCGAGAGGTCTTGTTGCCGGTCTCCACAAGAAATTCAAGGTTGTCAGCGGCTGGCTTCCTGCGAACAGGAGCCCACACGTCATGGTCTGCTTCCGTGGAGAGCGTGGCACGAGAGCATCTCGTGAAGACCTGTGAGACCAGGTGGCTCAGCCCTGCCCGCTGGGGCTGCCTCCAGCGCTCGATCCACTTTAAAGAAAACAGAAGCTGATTCCTCTCTCCATCCCCGCCAGAAAACTTCCTCCTGCTCTCATTTGCCCCCAGGCCCATGTTGGCCCGACAAGAAAACTGCCTCTGTGTAAGTAATAGCAGCTTTCTCAGTGTGGGTCTATCAAGGGCATCCCTGATGCCGCGCAGCTCCCATCGGAGAGTCTGAAGGAGCACCGCGGGTTGACGTAATCCCACCCAAAGCAAAGAAGGGTGATGTCGTTTGGAGCCTGTGGTGGCCGGGCCCTCCGTCAAGGTGCAGTGACCATCAGGGATTTCAGGAGGCTGTAAGGAGCATGGGGTCTCTCCCTCCACCACCCCCCGTGGCCAGAACTCCTTGGAGGGCTCCCCCAGGGCACCCCAGATTGGGAACCACTGGGCTAAGCCAGTTGGGATGAGGGTGCGACTCCCTGACGATCCCTGCAGCCTCTCCCATTTCCCTGTCAAGGAAGTCCTCCTGCCGCGGGGTGTCCGGGGAGAGCTTGGTGGCTGTGAGGTCATCCTGACTCTGCCATTTACCAGCTGTCTGAAACCCTGGGTCCTCTTGCTTCCCTCTGTCAGGGCTGGGTGTCTTTATTGTCGCCATTACCTCTTGTTCAGGTGTCCTGACTTCCCGCCCCGTCGTGTGTGATCCTCTCACTGGGATTTCCGTGATGAAAGAGGGATGCAGGGGTGGGCGGAGTGCACGTGGAAATGGGGCTTGGGAAATGCAGCTTCGGAGAAGCTGTCTGTGCTGGGAGCCTGGAAGGTGGGTGAGGAAGTGTGGCCCGTTAGCAGGCAGGCTGCAGGCACCTGGAGGCGGCAGCTCTGGGGTGCAGCCGAGCACGCCCCATCTTTAATGCGCCTGGAATCACCTGGGAATCTTGTTCCAGTGCAGACTCTGATGGAGCAGGCCTGGGCAGGGCTCCCAGGGGAGGCAGGTGCTGAGGTAGCCAGGGCCACACTCTTGAGTAACCAGGTGCCCCCACTGGGGCCTCCGGCCCAGGGAGGAGGGAAGGCCACTTGGTGTCTGGAAGCGATGGTTCCAGAAAGGCCTGAGAGCCCCCAGGATGTCCATGCAGGGAAAGATGAAGCAACATGAGGGTAAAATTATGTTTTCAACAGAAGAAAAGGCCTCTGCCTGCTAGCGTTCCCACCCCCTATGCAGCCCCAGGGGTTTGAAAGACTGTGGTTTTCTGAGCACAGCCTTCCTTCGCTGAAGGGGGTGGATTCGCTCTTAAAAAGTTGCCTGTAAAATGATTTTTTTCTGTATCAAATGCTGTTTTCCAGTGGTGCGTGTTTTAAGACCACGGTTGCATTCCCACTGAGAAGTATCCAGCTCTGAGGCCTTGTTGTTGAAGACGTGGCAAACACGAGGGGCGGGGAGTTCAAGGCCACAGCGTGGCCTGAGTGTCAGTGGGCTCTGGAGCTGATGAGAGCTGGAGCTACAGAGGTCAGGAACCAAAATCTGAATCCCCAGTGGTCCCCAAATGCACTGAGGTCCACGGCCAAACTGGCTCAGAACCCTGACCAATAAATACCACTGATTGTATCACTGGTGGGACCAGAGGGGACCCAGGGCAAACCAGCCCTTCAGCTGAAAGAAGAGCTCAGAGAGACTTGGCCCTCTTGTCTTTGTATATGACACTGTCAGCCACCCTCTGAATATCAGGCTGAGAGTGGTTTTGTTCTTATGTTGAACACAATTGTCTCATGTGCTATGGGAACCTGATGCCATGGCAGTCTGGCTGTGCTTCCCAAAGGAGCTCTGAAACTGTGATGCCAGAGTGCCACAAAGACTCCCGAGAAACAGCTTCCTCGCCCAGAGGGGTCTGCTTGAATATGCCAAGGTGCACTGGGCATCTTGAATAAGAGACGAAAGTCCACAATCTGCCAACACTGGGCAGACTGTGGTTTTCAGAGTATAGCCTGGGGTCAGTATTACAAGGAACACGCTTCGGGAACCCAGTCAGTGAAGGGCCCTCGTAACTAAAAGGTCTCTCTGTTTCTGTATTAGTTATCTACTGCTGCATAACAAATCACCCCGAACCTAGTGGGTGAAAACAACAGGCATTTATTTTCTCCAAGTGTCTGTAGGTCAGGGATTCAGAACTGGCGTAACTGGCTTGTGGTCTTCCCTGAAGTTGCAGTCCAGGTGTCAGCTGGGGCCGCCGTCACCTGACAGCTTGACTGGGGCTGGAGGGTCACCACCGTGGTGGCACACTCACTGGCTGGCAGTGCGGTGCTGGCTGTTGGCAGGAGGCCTTGGTTCCTTGCCCCACAGACTCCTCCACAGAGATGCTGGAGCTTCCTCACAATATGGCAGCTGGCTTCCCCCAGATGAATGCAAGAGAGCAAGACCGAAGCCTCTCATGACCTGGCCTTGGGATGCACGTGTGATCCTTTCCACACCGTCCTATTGGTCCCACAGGGCAGTCCTATTCATTGTGGGAAGGGCTGAAGGAGGTCGAAATCATTTGGAGACCATCTTGCAGGCCAACTGCCATGGTAAACATCTCTCCAGCACAAGGACAGATAACTTGCCTCATTCTCACAGCTGGTTTCTTACCATTTAGTGCCAATTAGTAATTTTGCAAAGTGACCCTGCTAGGAGGAGGAGACCAGGAATTTATCAGCCACGCCAACACCCCATGAACAGCAGCAATAATAATCATCCAGGCCCGTTCGTTGAGCCCTTACCCTACGCCCAGTGCCTCAACGGCATCGTGGAGACACACAGTCCTTGTCCCCAAGCAGCAAGTTCCACGATATCTCCAAGTTATGTCACTCATTTTTATGAAATGTATAAAATGAGATTTTTGGGGGGCAATGATGGCTACAGGGACACAAGCAGCTTTGCCCCCTGAAAATGCAGAGACAAAATCCAAGACCCGTGTGAACCCACGTGGAGAAGACTGGAGTGGGGTGTAAACTCAGGATGGAGAAATGCCAGAAATCATAGGGACTTCCCTGGCGGTCCAGTGCTTAAGACTCCACACCCCCACTGTAGGGGGCGTGGGTTCGATCCCTGATCGGGGAGCTAAGATCCCACATGCCACGTGGTGCGGCCCCAAAAATGAATAAATAAATACATAATAAATAGGTGAGATAAAATATTTATTTCGTGTGCATTAACAGTGTGTGAAGAGTCAGGGTGAGCCAGGAATTCTTTGGTTTCGCCCCAGCCTCATGCTAGGAGAAGGGGCCACATCTCCGGTGGTGGCCTAGTGGTAAGCAGTAGACACCTAGGCGCTCAAGTCACTTGCATCCCAGGCCTGCCATGTCCGTTACGAGCTCTTGACCCAAGCAAGTGGCCTCATGGTCCCGTTTCCTGTAAAATGGGGTAATAATGGCCAACTCTTCTGGTTGTGATGAGGCTTCCGAAGGTGCTGGAATGCTCTGTCCTGGCAAAGCTGATGGCGGGTCACCAAGGTGGTGGCACCCCAGGTTCAAAGAACCTTTGTAGCAGTGCCATTGCCTGGAAAGATCTTTGCTCTGTGACCGAGAGTGGACCCCGAGCCCCAAAACGGACAGTCGCTGCTGCAGGGGCCCCCGGTATGGGCCACCCCAGGGGGCTGGAAGGAGCTCAGCTCCTGCTTCTGCTGGGGGCATGTGTGGGCCTGGAGCCAGCCCAGCCCTTTCCTGTCCTGTCCCAGCATGATTTCAACAGAGGGAGCGTCCTGGGCATGTTTTCCCCTCAGAAGTCTCGACTCGCTGAGCAGGATTTGGGGAGGTCTGGCTGAATTTGCTGTCCCGACAAACAGACCAGGCACAGAGACTCTCAGCAAACACAATGTAGGCGCTAGTTCCTGATCCCACAGCCTGGGCCTGGCTTGACGGAGGGTTTGGGGGTCAGGCTGGCCTGACCCTCAGGGCTGTGTGACTCTGGACAAGTGTCTCCACCTCCCTGGCCCTAAATCTCGGGTTGGGCTTACCTGCTGGCCCTCAGTGGGTTCCGAGGAGCCTGGGGTTGCCCAAGGGGACACAGAGCCCACGTGGGTGTGCATGGGGCGGGTCCCAGTCCGCCCCCTTCTTCTCCCATCAGGGGAGCTCTATTTTCATCTCTTTGGTATGTTGGTGTTCTAAGCAGCACTTCATTTAAAGAGAAGAAGAAAAAGAAAAAAACAAAAGGAAACTCGTCTACAGCGAAAACAATGCATTCAAGAAGTTTCCCACCAGCTTACTTTGTCCCCTGGCTCGTTCCTTCAAGCTCTGAGGGAACAGAGGAATAGACGGCCTCCGCCAGCTGGGTTTAGTGACTGCCCATTTCCAAATGGTTCCTGGTTTTCTGGATTGGAATCTCTGTTTCCGTTCGGCCTCTTTGAGGTCCTGTGAAAGGTGGGGAGAGGAAGGGGCTTTGACTGGGGGGTCCACAGAGGTCTTGGGGTGCCAAGGTCACAAGCAGGCTGGCCTCCTCTCTGGACGTGTACTGTGGGCACCTCAGATGCCTGCCCCTCGCCCGCCCCCCCCCCCGCCCGAGCATCTCCACGGTAGCCAGCCCAGGTGCACATCTGCCCTCAGTGGAAGCGGGGGGCCAGCCCTTGCTGCCCCTGGGTCTCAGTTTCTTCATCTGAAGTGAGGAGACTGTGGGCCTGAAGGGTCTCTCAGCCCCTTCCAACTTCAACACTCCAATTGCTTCATTTATCGAGCTCCAGCTGTCTGCAGACGGGTGTCTGGGCGGGGGGAGGGGTGGATCCCATCCCGGGAGGAGCAGCCCCTGAGCCTGCTGCCTCTGGCCAGCCTGGGGATGGCAGGGCTCAGAGTGCACCCTGGGCCCCAGGAGGACCAGGTGCCAGGCCCAGCTGCCAGGCTGTCATTTGAAATGTCTCCTGTTGGTAGCACTTCGGTGAGTTTCAGGTCTCCTGGTCTTTGTGTGTATTTGATTTGTACCTGAAACCTTAGTTAGCTAGCTCCATTTCTTCGTTATGGGAATCTTAGTGCCTGAGGCTGAACCTGACCATGTCTTTCCCCAGGTAAAACCCTTCCATGGCTTCTCACTGCCCTCAAGACAGTCCAAGCTCAAGAGGCCAAGCTCTCCCACCTGGGGGCTCTCTACCCTCGCCCCCTCCTCCAGACACACAGACTGGACCGTGAAACCTCTCTCTCCTCTCTAGAGCCTCACATCCTCTGCCTGACACACTCTGCCTCTCCTCTTCTTGTTGCTTGCTAAGTGTCACTTCCTCCAGGAAGCCCTCCCTGCCTAATTGAGCGACTTTAGTTCACACTCAGGCTCACCCCGTCCTTCTCCTTTGTAGCACTCCTCATTGTAGTGAGCTAAAAAAATGCCTGTTTATCTGAGCCGCACCCCTCCCCCACACACTAGAATGTGGGCTCTCTGAGCGCCCCCCTTTTGGATTTCCCTGCCTGTGCCAGGCCCAGTGCTGGGCACCCAGGGAGAGCTCTGGAAATGACTGCTGAGTGAATCCTTGATTGGCAACTGTACGAGCCGACATGCAGTCTGTTGATCCAGGTTGCTAACCTGGGGCCAGCCAGGGCTGCCATCAATGCGCCTGACCGGGTCACACAGTCTGGGAACCCAGGCCCAGCCCCATCCTCTGGCCTGCAGGCTCTGCCTGGAAGGAAGGAAGGGGTTAAGTGTTTCTGGCGGCCCCGTGCTGGGTCTGTGGCAGTTCCCCCTTCCGGGGCTGCAGCAACCGAGGTTGGTGAGGAATGTTTGCAATGCAGAGCTAGGAGGGAGGGCGGCTGGTGGAAGTGGGGGCCTGGGGAGGCCAGCCGGCCAGGCTCCCCAGTTGAGCAATCGCCCAGGCCCAGCCGGTTCCTGTAACTCCTGCCTCTCCTCCCTCTTCCCGCCCTGCCAGCTACCTCTTCCCGCTGCCTGCCGGGCAGGGGCCACGGCCTGTACTCTAGGGCCTGCAGTGAGAGGTGGAGGGACAGAGGCCCAGAGAGCCTGGAGGCTGGGGTGAAAGGGAGGGGCTTCCAAGGAGAGAGAGAAGGAGTGCAGTCAGCTCAGCCACCTTGGCCCAGAGAGCGTAGGGCTTTTGCCCAAGGTCCCTCAGGGAGACGCCACCACCGAACTGGGCCACACCCTGGATTCAGACATTCTGGTTCCCATGACACCGGCTGCACCTTGACACAGCATGGAGGGCACTTTGCCCCTCAGATGGGCAGCTCTGAATCCCAGGGACCCCCTCCCAGCCGAAGGCAAAGACCCCCCGGCCCTGGCCTGGCTCTTCACTCAGGGCTAGGGTCTCAGAGAGGATGGTGGCTCTCTCTGGGCTGGGTGCACCCGCCCCCCGCCCCGCATCACTTCCCCAGCACCATGCACTGCCCAGCCTGTCCTGGGGACACCGGTCACCTCCATTCCTTCCCTCCGGGAGTGTGGAGGAAGTGGATGAAAGCCAAGCTGGTTCTCAAAAGCCCCCCTCCTCCTTCCTTCTAGTTCCTTTCAAGGAAGAACCTTCGTGAATTCTGAATAGCGTGTTGAGTCCAGGCACAAAACTGATTTCTTTCTTCACAAGCACACAGCTTCTTTGGGGGCAAGCAGCATTCCCTGACACTGCAGAATGAGCTTCTTCTGTGGACAGTATTTACAAGTGGCCTCTGCAGTCATTCGGGCCCAATTCGTATCCCGCTTCTACCACCTTCAAGCTTTGTGGCTGCGTACCTCTGAGCCTCAGTTTTCTTATCTGTAAAGTGGAATTCAGAGAGAGGGTGGGCGGAGCAGCAGAACCACGCTGGTTCTGTGGAGACTCTGGGCCACTTGCCTTTCCTGGTCCCACAGATGTTCAGTCTGTTTGGGGCTGGCTCAGGTGTGCCCCAACAGGGCCCTGGGCTTTGCCTAAGCTGCCAGGGGATGGTGGTGTCAGAGCCCTCAGAGGTGCCACCTTGGCCACATCTGGCTAGCATCAGCAGTGGATCTCCTGGGACCCACATCTCCAGAGGGCGGGGTAGGTGATCCACGTGAGCTAGAAATTCCTGTGAGAATCAAACACCACGTTTATAGGGTTTAGAGGTAAAGAGGCTTGCAGGAGGAGTGGCGTGCCAAGCCATAGCGAGGAATTTTAACCCCCAAAAAAACACCAGTAATACCAAGAACCCTCTTACACGCTGCTCTGCAGCTAAGTCCTTACAGTGAGCCAGACAATGACACCTACTTTATTCCAGCGACACGCCTAGGAAGGAAGAATATTGATCCCCCTTTTATTCAGGAAACAGAGAGGTTGATGCACTTGCTCAAGGTCACACAGCTTGTAAGGAGCAGAGCCTGACTTGGCACTCAGGCCTCTGCCCTCCAGAACCTGTGCTCTTAGCTGATCTCTTCCACACCTGGCTTGGGATCCGGGCTCTTCACAGAGATGGGCCACCTTGGGTCAGTCATTAAGGCCCAGAGCCACCAAGTGAGAGAAGAAGCTCCAGCACCCACTGGGGATGGGGGAGGCGCTGTGCTAAGTTAGCACTACCACTGGGTGAGCAGAGCTCAGAGGGGCCAAGCCTCTTACTCCAGGGCACACAGCCCGTCCAGCCAGGACCCACTCCCAGAGGGACTGATGATGCCTTCCAGTCCCCTGGTCCCCTGGCTCTCTGTACGCGAGTCCACCGAGGCCGTGGCTGGGAAGGACCCCCAGAGCCGACTGGGTTCCGCGGACAGATGCCGGCCGCCCCCCTCCCAGGGCCAGTGGGCTGCGAGGCTTCGCCACCTCCTCCCGAGCAGGTTTCCTTTAAGAAACCAGAAGATTGATTTCCTGGCAGGCTCGCACGAGGAGCCCATCCAAATGGTTTGCATGTCTGCATTTTTTACTGCTACGTTTAATATGTATGCAAATGCCGGCCGGCTGCGCCGCGGCTGCACAGTCACACGCGGCGCCCCATTAAAGCGCCGTCCGGGCGCGCGCATCATTCGAGGCGACGGGCTCGGCGGCCCTGATAGATGGGGTGCGGGGACGGAGACAAATGACGGGCTTTTGTAATTTCTTTCTCCGTTTTTCCGGGGCGGGGGCGGGGGACGCGGCTCAAACCTGGAAACAGCAGAGATTTAAATATATGCAATATTGCTTGGGGGGTTTGGGGGGGGGTAGAAACCTGAACTGGGAGGGGGGAGCTCAGTGTTCTCCTCCGTGGGAGTCGGGCTGGAGGCTGGAGTGGGGAGCTAAGCCCCCACAGTCACCTTCTGGCAGAGAGAGCGGCTTTGCTCCTGATAAGCAGGCGCGGTCCTATGGGAAGCGCTGCTTCAGCCGCAGAGAAAAGGAAAATGCTGGTTATTTTCAGCCCGGTTACGCCCGAGAGGCCACTGCCTCGAGTTTTTCCCATCCCCCGCCCCACTTTCTTTTCTTGGGCTTCCAGGGCTTATAACTTTGTAAGTATGATGGATGTCATTTAACTCTCACACTAGCCCTAAGAGGTGGATCGCACCCATTGTACAGATGGGGAAACTGAGGCTCACGGGAGCCAAGTCCTTTGGGGAGGGTCGCAGAGTGAG